TTTCCCATCAGGTATGAAATACTGTTTAAAAGATTGTGGTCAGTAAGTTATTTTTTTTTCTTAAGAAGTGAATACTTTTATTCAACATCGATGCATTACACTGGTCAAATTTGACAGTAAACTTGTTGCAATTACTTTCTATTTAAAAAAAAACGCTAGTCTTTGCAATTTCTATTGATCAAAGAGACCTGAAACTTCTTTGATATTTAGTTCAATTCATGTTTATATCTATAGCACTTTTACAGTGTAGATTGTGTCAAAGTTCAGTTTAGTTCAGTACAGTGTGGTTTAAATTTCACCGCTGAAAGTCCAAATACTGAAGAGCAAATCCACCGATGCGCAGTTTCAAAGCTTGAGGTTGACACTTTCGGGATTAAAGAGGGGAGTTTTAGATCAGCCGTCACGTGATGTATTGTTAGTGAGGCGTGAGATGACATCTGCTTGTGGTCTTGTGATCGCCTGCTCTGTAATGATAACCGCTGCTCTCTATCACATCAGCTGATCACATCACATGCATTCTGCTACCATATATCCATTTCAATAGTTGTTTGTTCCCTCTTTTGTCCTATGGGAAATGTTTCATTATTTAATTATGAAGAAAGTTTCATAATTATGTTTATTTGTTCTCTCATTTATTCCCTCTTATGGGAAATATGCAGATATACCATACACACACACACAGTATACTATATATTATATATCACCAGTCAGTTGCGGTTCTAGTTTAAATGGCACCTTGGGTGAACCACCTGATATACAAACCTCCCTCCCACCTCCAACTTATCCAGCATATGTTTTACAGAGTGGATGCCCTTTCAGCTGCAACCCATCACTGGGAAACATCCATACACTCTCATTCTCACACATACACAACGGTCAATTTTAGCATACCCAATTCACCTGTACCACATGTCTTTGGGCTTGTGGGGAAAACTACAGAATCCGGAGGAAACCGATGTGAACACGGGGAGAACATGCAAACTCTACAAAGAAATGCCAACTGACCCAGCCGAGGCTCGAACTAACGATCTTCTTGCTGTGAGGTGATCGTGCTACCCACTGCGCCACCCCGTCACCCAATCATCATTCATATTTTTATTCTTATTTTACAGTTATTATTCTAAATAATAAATAAGAGAATTTGGAACTGGAAACAATGTAAAGAGACAACTTGAGTGATATGTTAGAATCACCCAAGAAATCTTTTGAGCGGCGTGTATTTAATCACCATTCATGTAATAATAATAAATAATAATTCCTTATATTTATATAGTGCTTTTCTAGACACTCAAAGCACTTTACATATGAGGGGGGAATCTCCTCATCCACCACCAGTGTGCAGCATCCACCTGGATGACGCAACGGCAGCCATATTGTGCCAGACCACACATAAGCTAATTGGTGGAGAGGAGATGATGAAGCCAATTATGATATGAGGATGGTTAGGAGGCCATGATGGCAAATTTGGGTTGAACCCCTACTCTTTATCGAAGAACATCCTGGGATTTTTAACGACCACAGAGAGTCAGGACCTCGTTTAACGTCGGAACTCACTGAGCAGTATAGAGTCCCCTTCACTATACTGAGGCGTTAGGACCCACACAGAACACAGGTTGAGCACCCCCTGCTGGCCTCACTAACACTACTTCAGGCAGCAACCTAGCTTTCCCATGTGGTCTCGCATTCAGGTAGTGACCGGGCACAGTCCTGCTTAGCTTTAGTGGGCGACCATGTGAGAGTTGCAGAGAGCTAGCTGCCGACAATGTAAACAAGCAGGATTCACACTGAGAGCAGGAGCAGCACATCTGCATCACTAGCAATGAAATACTATTTAAATGTTATTTTAATGTGAAATATTATTGCAAAAAGTTTACTTTTGCAAGTCGATTTTTAAAAAGTCTTTTTTTTTTTTACATGTTATAATGCAATTCCTTTTTTTTGGTGATAAAGTTAAAATTTAAGCACCATTACCTGTCTGAACGGTCACATAATCCTTCCAAAATCATTGGAAAATAATTATTTTTAAAAACATTATTTTTATCATGTTTAATCATTTTATGTTTTTAAACTATTTTGCTTTTTTTGTATTTTTGTGGGTATTATGATAAATTTTGTCTCACAGAATTGTTTAATGAATATAACTTGTTTTATTGTTATATATTCAAACTAGAAAGCAGTTTATTTCAAAATACAATACAAACATAAATAAAATCCTACCGACATCAGACTTTTGATACAAAAAGGTAAATAAAAAAAGACTTTTAAAACAGTTTCACTTTCTTACACAGCATAAAATACATTGCAGTTTTTAATACTTTTATAAAACAGATCTGAGTTTCTCAGATAACATTAAATTAGACTTGTATTCTAGTCAGCTTACACCATCCCTGTAGCAGGATGGTAGGTGTCCAGCTGGGTTATGTACTCCCCGCCTCTTTCGTTTTATTCTCATCTGGACCTCACGCACTCAGATCCAGGCACAATAAGAGAAGGCTTTGCTTCATTTATAAATCCTGCATTCGGTGAGCTAACATTTCAAATCTCCTCTCTGTTGTGTAACTGCAGAGAAAGGGATTAAAGGCCTTGAAATATCCTGTCTAATCTCCCTTTTGCCCAAACTCAACACCAGGATATATCCTGGAGGCCATGGCTATTATGTCTTGTCTGGAGCACACACACAGACACACAAACACACACACACACACAGATCCCAGCTGTTTGCAGCACTGGGTGAGTTGGTTGAGTCCTCTGTAATGCTAAGCAGCTGTGGTTTGGGATTTGCCCAGTGATGTGTTAGAATTGGACTGGGCTTGACTCTATAGTCTGGCCTGTGCTGAACAACATTGATCTATTCTGGCATTCAGCAATGGCTCTCCATAACTCACACATAACACAGCAACTCAGAGCCAGCTGAGGAGATAAGAGGGACTTAACCCATTTAAACTGTCATTAATTATGACAAACAGAGAATTTCTCACCATTATTAGATTACTGAAGAGGCTCCAGAAGTTAGTTTGCCGAGTTCTTGGGATTTCCATCTGCTCTATTCAGGCAGGCCCGAAAAATATCAGCACTCTTTGAGAAATGGCTTAGAACCAATCCTTTCTCTTCCCCCTCTTCATTTGGAGACGCCTATTGATATTTTTCTGTTGTCATTGAGTATATGAGATGTAAAATGTTTGCTTTATGACTACAGTAAATAGAGTTGTCCTTGTCTGAGGGGGCTGAGAGGATAATGTGTGATTACTGGATGAGGGAATGCTATCAGTGGCTCAAACTATGCAGAAATATATTGATTTGGTACTAGAGTATATTAATATAGGTTTTTTATGATCCTTGCATTGCAAAGCCATTACAACATAACATGGCTGTTGAATACTTGATTCTTAGGTGATGAATATTCTAAGGTGTGCAGTTATTTTCCAATAGTTTTCCAATAGGCTATGGTCTTTAGACTCCTTGTTAGAGTAACCGACTCCCATACAAAGGAGTTGCTGGTTCGATCCCAGCTTGAAAAACGTTGAGTGGTGTAGGCTCGGTGGGCTTACATAGACAAACAGCAATACAGCATAGAAAAAAGTGCAGTTTTGAAAATACCTGTGTTAGTGTGTGCAGGGCCTAAAAAACAGGATTCGCCATTCTTAAGAATGCAGGTGCAAACATTTCTGCTGCTTAAGAACAAGTTGGGTATATGGCATAGATTGTTCTTAGAAAGAAGATTGGTAAATGAAGTCCATTAACTTTAAGGACAGCAATCGTATAGTGTAATAATTGACACATGATATAATAGTACATGTTACATTTTTCAAAGGTCCCATGAAAATGTACAAATGTTGTAAATGCTAGTTTCTGTCTATAAGTTTTAAGGATATCTAAGCTAGTGTGCTCCAAAATAAAGACAAAATATGCATTTAGAAAACATAAAACTGATATAAACAAGTAAAACTAGCAGTTTGTTACTTCCCGAATGGATTAACATTTTTTTTTTTCACGTCACCTCATACTTTAGTTTTCCATCAAATCTTGACCAATCAAATGCTCTCTAGTATCTGTCGTGCCCTGCCCCCTTCAAGACGCTTGTGATTGAGCTTAACCACTCTCAATGGCAGAGCTGGGATAAAAACAAAATGACATTGTCTGTTTTTTAAAGGGGAGGAGCTACTCTATGCCCCACCCTCTCTTCATTTTTTCAGTTGCGATTACATCAAACATTGAATTCAAAATGCACATTTCGAAGCACTTCACAATTGTCACTGGTGGCGATGCCCCCATCATATATTTGCATATTTAAAATAGGCTCTCTGTTAAATGTTTATTTATAAATAAGTACTTTTAAATGACAACACTGTGATAGTGGCTTCTGTAGAGGATTCATAAACCTGTCACTGGCACAAGATAAAGTCACAACACAATTGTTTGATTTATTTCATTGTGTCGTCGTGTTTAATAGTATGTAAACCAAGGTCAGAACATAATTTTAGTGTTCAAGGCCCCAATAAACAGCGTGCCATTGTCCTTAAACCTGTCATAACCAAATGACACTCTTGCTTCTGTGAATCCGTAAACCACCTGATGCCCGATTTCACCCTGACAGGTTTTGAGGTGCCTGGTAAATCATCAAGACAGCTTGACAGAACAGAACGCTGTAGGAGGACACAACAGCTCAAAGTGATGACTTATAGAAACGCATTTCATCTTGTGGATGTCCAACTTATGTTTGTAAATCCACATTTATGTTATGATCATGCAGCTTAGACCTTGCTTGAAGCATTGTCACGAATTGTTTGATAGGGGTGTAAAGATGACTAAATAGGGGTTGAAATGGAGGGATGACTTTCAGGGCTCCTCAAAGACTTTGAGTCCCATTTTATTTCAGCTGCCAGTTTTTATAGGAGAGCCATTAAAAATGGATGCCAGGAATTGATTTCTAAATGTGGCTGAGGTGTTATTTATGACGGAAGTCACGCTGGGATTTAATAATTCTCTGCTTGTTCACAGGCACAGCTTCAACATGGTAAACCTCCTCAATGGCAAATCCAACCAAGCAAACCACACAGAGCGGACACCACTTCTCAAGTTCTCCCAAAATGATAGGTGAGTCTATATGGGGGCTTTAAAGTTTCACAGTGTTCTTCTGTTCTCAATTGCTTCAGTGGTTTTCAGTTCTTCAATAAATTTGCTTTCTTGCTCTTATGTTATTTTTCTACTCTTTTTTTATTTAAAAAAGAAACAAAGTAATTGTCATAGAGGTTACTGTATCAAATCACAATACATTTGATGCATATTTTCACATATTATTTGCAAAGGTGCTCAGCCCATTTTTTCCAACACTTGTCAAGTCTTAAGTTAAACTTAAGTCTCTCCATATGTACATCTCCTTTGCAATTCCTATCCACTGTATCCTTGTTGGAGGATCAGCCTGAAACAATTTTGGAGTTGTGGCTTTTCTGCTTAATACAAAAAGTATTTGTATTACACTGTAAAACCCAATAAGTTAAGGTAACTCAAACCGTTTGAGGAAACCGATTGCTACAAACCATTTGAGTAAAAAAAAAAAAAACGAATCTACCAATCATTAGGTGGGGTAAAAGAGGCACATCATGCGCATGTATTCTGGCAGTGCTCAAGAATGAACAGTTTTTGGGAAACTGTGCACTCCACCATCAATGATATTTTTAACCTTCATATTCCTAAATCATTCAAAGTACTTTATCTAGGAGATATTCCAATTACTTATTTGATCTATTTATTTAATAGATGTTCATTTGAGAAATGGATGTATTTGCATATATACAAGCATATATGCATGTACGCATATATGTATGTATGTATGTATGTACTGTATGTACAGTATGTATGTACTGTATGTATGTATGTATGTATGTTTATTTTTGCATATATGTTTTATTATTTTGTGTTTGTTTGTTTTGTTACTACTGGTTATTTGTTCCTAAAAATCTATAAAAACTAAGTTAAAAAACAAAACAAAACAAAAACGAATCTATTAATATACAGAGAACTGTGAACTTACTCCATTTGAAGTAATGAGGTATTTAATTACATTCAACACTGAGTTCAAAACTCTTTTCAAATGATTGGAATTAACTTGCAGTAAATTTTGAGTTATCTACACTTCATTGGATAAAGTTGATTTGGGTATTTCTCATTGGCTGGAAAAATGTCTGACTATTTCCCAAGGTATAATGAAATTAATTAATAATCCAGTTCTTCTCCATTGCTTTCATATTATTTAACATGAACATTCTACTCTTCACCATATAAAAGGGCATTTATTTGCAGTGCTGGGAAGTTAAAATATTTAAAAATACTTGCTCTTTAGATAAGTGATTCATAAAGATAAACAACACAATCATAAGTTCAAAGCACTCAAACAGTACGTGATAATATTAAAGCCTTTATTAACATGTCTTCATCAGGGTAGAAATGTTCAGGTCTAATTTAATAAAGTGTAATAATACATTTCTAATTACTTTGTATGAAAAGTAATTTAATCAATATGTAAGTTAATTATTTAGTCAGTACTCCTAAAAGTTATATAAATCTTAATGTCTAAGATTATTAAATGAAACTTTTAAAATGTATTTATATTTGAGTCAAACAGTGCATTTTAGCTGTAAAAAAGAAATGTAATACTTAAAAGAATGTATCAAAACAACTAATGACATACAGTTCTCACCATATATCAGTACACCCCTCACAAATCTTCCATTTAAATGAATATTTTCTTTAGAATACCTTAAAATATTACATTTGTGCATATACATTAGATTAATCACTGCTAAAGCCAAATCTGAAGCTAATCTAACAAAATAGTTTATGGTAACGGTCCAACAATTTGTAGTTAAAAATTTGTATCTTAGGGAAAAATAGGTAATATGATTTTTAAAAATTGCAAAAATTGAGAGAAACAACAAAAAACTATTTGTTGAAATTTTGCTGTTTGTAAATGTTTTATTTTTATTTTTTGCAATATTTCGCAATAATTTATATGTTAGGGAAAAAAATGAAATACGATTTTAAAAAAATAGCAAAAATTGAGAGAAACAAACTAACAAAAATAAAAAAACTGATTTTGTTGAAATTTTGCAGTTGTAATCTTTTTTGCAATATTTCTCATTAATTTAAATGTAGAATCTTTCAATTTTAAAGATGTTCAGTGAATGAATTATTAAATCTGTTTTGTTCAAATGCACCAAAACACATTGCCTATATTCATTTAGAAATGGATACAAATATTAATTTTAAAATGTGGTGTACTCATTTATGGTGAGCAATGATATACATAATTCAAAATTTTCTTAAGCATGTGCATATGTTGAACAAATCTAGCCTTTTTAACTAATCATTTAACAGCTGTTGACTTGGCATAGTCAAAGAGGCTCTTGCAGAACAGCCATCAATACCTGATCTCTGCAATTACTGACCCTGTACTCGTTCACTAATGAGAAAAATCCCTTTGTGACCTTTGTTTTCAACAATTACTTTATATATTTCCAGGTTGAAGACAAACACAGTTCTTCATTTAATGTATGGCATTATTATTTCCTTGTGGTCTTGACCTCTGTGTATGTCTTAATTAAAGCAAACAGTGCTTGCAGTTCACTATCGGCACTCTCAGCTGTTGAGATATGATTTTCACAGCACCGTTCACTCAACCAGTCAGGAGTGTGGTAATGTTAGCCATGATATTTGAATACCCAGTTTTATATCCATATGTATATTTTATCAGACATTGCTATTAGGTATGTAGGAATGAACTTTAATAGCTCTTGAATAAGTCAATTTGTTTAAGGGGCGACACTGCAGACAAAAACACTTTTTATTTTTTCTTTAAGTGTCACGTTTTAATTACAATATGTATTTTTATAAATATAAATCTCTGAGCCATAAATCTACACTTCAGCAGCACTTATATACCTTCACAGTTCATATCTAGGCTATATGAGGATATGGATGATAAAGATTTGTTTATATAATATTTCTGATTAGATACAATGTTTTATTCTACAAAACAAATCAGATTTTTTGTTCTTTCTTGCTGTGACTTGGAAAAAAAACTTCAAAAAAAGTTTTTAAACCTTTTAAACTTCATCTAATGTTTATAATTTAGTTCTATTCATATATAATTGCATTTTTCTTTTGTAAATTTTAAACAGAATTTATAAAAAGCTGTAAATGTTTATTGTAATGATTCAGTTGGTGATGAATGCTATTAATTTTTTTTTGCCATATTAACCTGCAGTGTCTTGCCTAAACGCAGTTTTTTTTTCAGCATTTGTCCTTGATTCACTCATGCATCCCTAACAGAACTCTAAAGCCAGCGATTATGTAACAATATTTGAAGAGGCATACGCATAAGGATTACACCTGAAATTAATTTTGTTGGGATGACATTGTCCTCTTCAGTGCTAAATATTCCTGTTTTCATGAGATTGCATTTCATCTTTCATTGAGTAACACTTGAATTATCATTGATAATAGAAATTCTAGTGTAACCAGACGCAAGATTTTAATGCATCAATTGTTTGTCTATGTATGAAAACTGCAACTGAAGTTTTTCTCAAGAGTCAGGGGCCTAAAAATGAGTAAAAATGACAGAAAAACAAAAAAGCAAACAAACAAGCAAACAATAATAACAAAAAAGACTAAATATAAAAGTATTAAATTAAGCAAAAAATTATTAAATTAAAAGTAAGCTAAGTGAATAAAGAAAGAAAACACAGATGAATAAAACAAATGTCAAGTTGTTTTTAATCCATACAAAATATACATTTTAACTCCCTTGAAAGCGCGAATCATCTCAGACTGGTTTCTTGAACATGACAATACTCAAATGGCCTTCAGAGTAACCAGATCTCAATCCAAAAGAGCACCTTTGAAATGTGGTGGAACGCGAGACTCGCATCATGGATGTGCAGCCAGCAAATCTGCAGCAACTGGGTGATGCTATCATGTCAATATGGACCAAAATCTCTGAGGAATATTTTCAGTACCTTGTTGAAAGATTAAGGCAGTTCTGCAGGCAAATAGTATAAACCTGTAGCTATGAGTATAAAAGTGCCTACATAACTGTGGATTTTTTGACTTGATTATAAGCGGCAAGATACATTATTCCAGCTGAGTACACAGTATCATTGCTAACAGCATTAGCATTCTACTCATTGCTTAACAGAGGCAATAGATGGAGGCAACTGATAGCAAGCAGCCATACAAGCTTTATGAAAACAGCTACTCTTTGATCTCAGAGGACTGTTTTGATGACACAGAGCAGACTACGGAAGGCCTACCTATTGTTTATAATAATTGTTTATAAAAAACTATTTTCTGAGAAAAATTTAAATGTTCAACACAATACACTGCCTGGCAGCAAAAAAAAGTTGCTGTTTGGATTAAAGTATTCTTCTTCTGAAGTATTACTATTTAAAGTATTAGTCTTCTATTTAAGGATCATGGAGGCTACTGTGCTCTTAGGAACCTTAAGTTTTTGGTAACCTTGGCCAGATCTGTGCCTTGCCACAATTTTGTCTCTAAGCTCTCCAGGTAGTTCCTTTGACCTTACTATTCTCGTTTGCTCTGACATGCATTGTGATATGTGATGTCTTATAAAGACAGGTGTGTGGCTTTAATAATCAAGTGCTATCAATACAATCTGAGTTAAATATATGAGGGTTTGAATACTTTCTTTATCGACTGTATATCTTATGAGCATGCAGATTATAGTCTACAATTAAACTTGTTTAACAAACAATTTAGAGAAGGTAAAGTAATACGCCGCAAAACTACACAGAACCCTGTGGATTTAGAATCAGGTGTAATAAGAGCTATTCACATTTTTTTTCTTCAAACCAAACATGTGATTATCATCTGCAAAGGTTTAAACTTGTCTGGATTGTGTTCTTTAGCAACACCTCTTGCAAAATGTCTACACCTTCAAACCATCCTGGTCAAATGATTATTTGATTACCTCTGAAATCCATCAAAAGTTGATAAGCTCAAAACATTTGAGAGCTAATTCAGACTTATATTTAGCTTTGTCCACTTATGGACAGATAATTGAAAATGCAGGTTATTACCAGTTTTGAATGGAGCCAATATAGTTTCAAACAGATTTCCAAGGTCAAGCTTGTTCATTTTTCCACTAAACAAATTGTGCTGCACCCAAACTCAGATCATTAGTTAGTGTCTAACTTGTGGTTTTTGTGCAGTATCACCTACATGACTCTGCATGAGCCCAGTCTGGGGTCTGGAGAGGAATCGTGGGAGGCGAGCTCTGCTGAACTGGAGAGAAGGTGCAGGCTGGGCAGTGAGGTCACCAGTCTCTCACACATTACATCCCCGGAGAAGAGTGAAAATTACTTCAAACTCTCTTTTCCCATCAGGTATGAAATACTGTTTAAAAGATTGTGGTCAGTAAGTTATTTTTTTTTCTTAAGAAGTGAATACTTTTATTCAACATGGATGCATTACACTGGTCAAATTTGACAGTAAACTTGTTGCAATTACTTTCTATTTAAAAAAAACGATAGTCTTTGCAATTTCTGTTGATCAAAGAGACCTGAAACTTCTTTGATATTTAGTTCAATTCATGTTTATATCTATAGCACTTTTACAATGTAGATTGTGTCATAGTTCAGTTTAGTTCAGTTCAGTGTGGTTTAAATTTCCAAATACCAAATACTGAAGAGCAAATCCACCGATGCGCAGTTTCACAAGTCCCAAACCAAGCAAGCCAGTGGCGACAGTGGTGAGGAACAAAACTTCACCAATTAACAAAAGTGAAGAATATAAAACCTTGAGAGAAACCAGGCTCAGTCGTTTATACAGTTAAAGTCAAAATTATTAGCCCCCTTTTAATTTTTTTTTATAGTACATTTAGTATAGTATAGAACATTTTAATAGTATGTCTGTTAATATTTTTTTCTTCTGGAGAAAGTCTTATTTGTTTTATTTCGGCTAGAATAAGCAGTTTTTAATTTATTAAAAGCCATTTTAAGATCAATATTATGAGCCCTTTAAAGCTATATATATTTTTTTTAATTCTACAGAACAAACCATAATTATACAATGACTCTCCTAATTACCCTAACTTGCCTAGTTAACCTAATTAACCAAGATAAGCATTTATTGTCACTTTAAGCTGAATACTAGTGTCTTGAAAATATATCTAGTCAAATATTATTTACTGTCATCATGGCAAAGATAAAAATAAAGAAATGAGTTATTAAAACTATTATGTTTAGAAATGTGTTGAAAAAAATCTTCTCTCTGTTAAACAGAATTTGGCGGAAAAAAAATAAGCAAACAGGGGGCTAATAATTCAGGGGGGCTAATATTTCTGACTTCAACTGTATATCTAATATTTAGCATCAACTGGCATCACAAAACACATTTAATTTTAAAACATCTTAAAACAGAAACAATTATTACAAAGTAAGTCAAGCACAACGATTTGTCTGTTATATGCTATATTTATTAAGTGGCAACAAGTACATTACTGTGTTGTTGTGAATAAAAAGCTTCCCCAAAATAAAAATACAACAAAAAATTGCACATTTTTAAGTGATATTTAAAATGTACTTAAAGTCCACGTGGAATCAAAAATTGACAATTGCCCCTTTCACATATTGATAGCAGTAAATATCAGGAATCTTTCCGGAACGAATTTACCGGTGAATTAAAAAACGCTGTTCACACAAGCAAGGATGTTCTTGATTTTTCCAGAAAAGACCATTCACACATCCTTTCCAAAATACCAGTAAATTCCGACATCATTAACCAGAAATGACCTCTAAACAACTACACTTGTATTTGTTAACAAAAAAGGGGTCTGGCTTTTGTTGATGGTTTTACTTTTATTTAAAGCTTTAGCATTCATGCAGCTGCTTTGTCCTAGAGACATTTAAAGGCAGAAGCGCAAACCGCAGCTACTGTTTACAAATTTGACTACATTACAAAATTCTGTGGATGGATAAGTATTGTGAACAACTTTGATCAAAACATATGGAGGGACACTTTTGCATATCGAGATGTACATAATATGTATGCATTGGCACTCACCGGAGCACTCTTTCACAAGCACACACGTAAAGCAACTGAAGCAGAGCTTGTAGGTAAACAAACAGCCGTTTATCAGCATTTTATTGATAATTTTTTACTTAGCTGGCATTCAGAAGGAACACAGAAACGTTCTCTTGTTAACATCTAGCAGCTAAATGTGTTTTGAAAAATAATCAAGGGCTTTTATTTTCATAAACAGCGCGGATGTGAATTCTAAACTTAAATGCACTCTTTCCGGCATTTTTCCTTCTGTGTTTACACAGAGCAGCATTCTGGCAAACTTCTTGTAATGTTACTTCTCTTTCCGGAAAATTGCTAGAACAAATTTACCGGTATTTTCAAAAAGGCCCTGTTCACACATGATCCCTTTCCAGGAAAATTGCCAGTAGTTTACTGAAAAAGTCTGTATGTAAAAAAAAAAGTGTCTGTGTGAAAGGGGCTAATGGATCTTTTGCTAGTGCACATTGATCTTCTTTAGGTGAACGATTAATCCATGCAAGTTAATCCACTGAAAAAAAAAAATTTGTGGTAATCTTTAATCAAATTCTGACCATTGCGTTCGTGTTTGGAGTGGTGGTGCTTCTCTGATGACATCAGTTTGATGGCGTAAACTACAAGACTTTTAATCTCACCCTTCTTACCGTTAGTTTGCTATAAGGTAATGAGTTGTAAAAAAAACCCCTCATCTACAGTAACTTAAAATTCAGTTTTAGTTGGAAGTACAGCAACATACTGTAATAAAGTCTCAGCAACTTTCAGTTAAAGCTGACTTTTTTCACCCTAAAAAAATCTATTAATTGTTTTCGTATTTTGTGATTCACAAGTGTTTTCCATTTATATATGGTTGTGAATTGCATTATGGAATGTTGATCTCTGCTCCATTGACATTTGATGTTGAAAACTCTGCTCTACAGTTTAACAAAGTGACTTTTATTGACATTTAGTTACAGTAGTTTGAAACTTAATGTATAAGATATTAATAACCTAATGTATAAGAAATAATATAGCAAGAAATACGTCTCTAAAATACCAGAAAATCTACTGGTGGTAAATACAAGGTTTTTGTACTTTACACTGTAAAAAATACAGGGTTCCACACGATTCATTCAAAACAAATAAATTAAGTCAACTTAACAAATATAAGTGGATTGAACATAAAACAATTAAGTTGTCCCAAAAAAATCCCAAACGTTGTGTTGTTTCGGCTCATTTTACGCAAGTATGAAAAAGCAGCAGAAATCATTTGTTGAATGTATTAAACTTAAAGATGTTAATAAAAGTCACTTTTTTCTAACATTTTCAAGGTTAAAAGTAAAGAGAGAAATAAAGAGCAAGGTCCCATAATGCAATTCAAAAGCATAAATATATAAAACATGAACCACAAAATGTAAGACATTTCTAATTTATGTATATTATTTATCTGTCTTGTTGTGACTTAAAAACCCTTGCTGTCTACCATTTGATTATAATACAGTGTTTTTTGATTGCTTTCACTGCTTGTCCTTACTAAACCCTGACAATAGTTTTAATGCCAAAAGAGGGTTTGCCCTGGCGCAAGCTGTCATCAAATCTGGCCTCAAAAACCGAGAGCTATAGCTTCATAACTCACAATCAACTCTAAAAGCAACTGTAACTTTTTGGCACATGGCTTTCTTTCTATTGCAAAGTAGATATCACAAAAAGTGTCTGAATTTGCTTTTACAGATATTGCCTAGGGATGACAAGACTCATCACCATCTTCGTTATTGTCGTTCTGTGTTCAGTAAGTTCTCCATAAATCAGACCTAATCAACAAAGTGCTTTAGCGTGCATTCTATTGTTTTCAGTCATCTGCCTAAGTGACACTCTAAAATAACTCTATTTATCTGAATCATCAGCTGTTTTTCAGCATGTATCCCGACCGGGAGAGCCCCTGGAGGATGCTGGCGGTCTCATCCACCGAGAGCTTCTGTATCCTCCCCATTTGTGTGTCTTAGAGAGTCTGCATTGTTTCTGTTTGCATTGGCTGGATGAATAAGAGTCATTAATGCACAAGTCAAATAGTATGCTGCCACTGTCTAACGCCTCAGACCCTGCGGGGATTTTCTGTTTGGTTGGGAGATTGCACTGAAGGGCTGCACTAATTCATTTCCGTTTCTGTGACAATCTCGCCATCTGTTATTTACAGCGGCTTGTGTCATGGAAACAGTCTTGCTTATGACTCCGTGCATAACAACAGATCTGCCTGATACTTTCGGCAGACTGTGGGTCCTGTAGAGATGAATGTGAAGAGTGAACAATGCACTGAAGTGATGCAAAGTGCCTTCTGCTGGTGATTGTTTGTCTGAAATTGAAACGGTGGCCGGCTGACGTCTTTTTGACAAAGTTTTCCAAAACACTCCCATTAAAATCTGTCATCATTATCATCCTTCACTTGTTCCAAACTGTTATGAGTTTATTTCATCTGTTGAACACAGAGGAAGATGTTATGAAAAACCTTGGGCATCAATGACTTCCAGTGTTGGTGTAATAAGTAACAAAGTATCTAGTTACTGTAATTACATTATTTTTCCACTGAAAAAAAAAAAGCTTTTTTTTTTTTTTTTTCATTTTTAGCTCATTTAATTGCGGTTTAAATAATGTACCTGCCTAAATACTAACATCAATTCAACAATTTTGTATAAATCAATTCAGATAAGCAGAATAATTGCATTTTTTGTTGTTTTATTGGCTTTTTTAAACTTAAAAAAATCTACATTTATTAAGAAGATTTAATATATTTAAGACAAAAAATAAATTGAGAAATTACATTCAGAGAACCACAGTAAGCTGTGTTATATTTTTTAGTTTTTCTGATATTTGTCACAATTAATTTTTTTTTAAAAATCACAAAAAATCATATGTTTATCTCAGAATTGTTCATGCTTAAGAAACAATGAAATGTTTTATAAAATTAAAGTCAATATATATATGTGCAATATGGTTTCATTACTTTGAAATCATTTGAGTTTGAAACATATGTTGTTTTAAGTGTAAGGACCCTATCATACACCCAGCGCAATAAGGTGCAAGAAGTGTTTGGCGCTATTTGTTGCTATTTTTAGACCAGCGCAACCCTAATTTTCACGTTTTGTGCCACGTTGTTTATATAGAAAATCCACTCGTGGGTGTGCTGGTCTTTTTTATTTTATTTATGGCAGTTAGTATTTGTACAATATTATTATTCTTAGCAGTATTTTTTATTAAATGCATATTTACATTTGTTTTAATAAAAACAAATTTAGATATTTCCACTTGATGGGTTTTGGAGATGTATGTGGTTTCATATGTGGCATAAAAATAGGACGCGTGTTTGGATATAACTCAGTTTTTTGACCACACTTTGTTATTATTGTTTATTTATTAATTTGCTGGAAATTTATTTAATTTAGAAACAGTTTTGAAACAAATCTTTGCGCTTAACATATTAAATTATATATGTAGGCTAATGGATATCTTTAGTTGAGCGCATACAACACTGTTTCCTTATCCATGAAAGTAAAGGAGTAATGCAAAGAGAAAGTAAAGGGGCCGAATGGAGGAGGCCCGTTCTTTATCTTCGCGCTGAAGATGGTCTGTTTAATTGTTTTCTCGCTACTGAAGTATTTTGTTTTTTCACTTGCAAAGTCCGCCATTTAAATATGAAATGCACTATTGGGCGACACATCTGACCCTTAAAGGGAATTGTAGATGAGACACTGATTGGTTTAAAGCATGTTATGCTCAAAACACACATATAACTCTTTAAGAGAATAAACACTACCCTTCCGTCCTTAAAAAAGTGAATTTGGAGATGCCCTTAATGCTTTAGCACCATGTGCTTTAAATTTTGTGCATAGATCATTAAAATAGAGGCCTAAAGTGTTATTTTTTTAAAACAAAACTTAATGCTTTTGTTTGCCTCAATTTTAAATAAATAAAGTTTAATTTCTGTTGACTATGTCTATTGTTCAAGTGGGTTTTTAGAATTGAGGCAATAATTAAATTACTCTTGAGTATCTAAGTTACTTTGAGACAAAATAGTTCGAAAAGGGTGGCACGGTGGCCCAGTGGTTAACGATATCGACTCACAGCAAGAAGGTCCCTTGTTTGAGTCCTCATTGGCCCAGTTGGCATTGTTGTGTGGAGTGTTTGCTTGTTCTCCCTGTGTTTGCACGGGTTTCCTTCGGGTGCTTTGGTTTGCCCCACATGTCCAATGACATGCATTATAGTGAATCAGATAAACTAAATTGGCCATCGTGTATGAGTGTCTGTGTGAATGTGGTTGTATGGGTGTTTCCCAGTACTGGGTTACTGCTGGAAGGGCATCTGTCGTGAAAAACATTTGCTGGAATAGTTGGCGGGTCATTCCGGTGTGGCAACCCCTGATAAAAAAGGGGCTAAGCCGAAGGAAGGAAATAAATAGAAAAGTAATTTGAATACAATTTCAGTGTAAGACAATGGTGTTCATCAGCTAGAAGTAGAAGTCATTGGTGACCGATAATACTAAAGTGAATTACTCCAGTGCTTGATAGATATTTTGTGTCGTGTATTTTCATTTGGAAGTTTTTTCTTAACCTAGCTGATCACCGTAGCCATGAATCTTACTGATTTTCGTGACAACTCCTTGCTGAAGTTGCAAGTCGGTGGGCCATTTTTGGGAGGGATGGAGGCTGTGCAAGAGTCCCAGGAGTATATTCTCATCCAGGTGGAGCAGACTGAGGAGGCCGGGCCTCGCCGGAGAAGAACTCAGCAGGTTAGATGCATTTCAGCACAGCCAAAAAGATCAATAATGCAGATTCAGCTAATGTTAAATGCAGTTTGACAGTTAATAAGATGCTTTTCACCTCAGTTTACTGTATACATGATTTCCATTATGTATTGGAAACAACTTTTTGCCTTCATTTTAAAACCATATATTTATTGCTTTATATTTTTTTTACACTTAACTTGAAAAGTGTGTTTGTTTATGCTTTAATTAAAATTATTTGGGGTTAGTAATGTTTTCAGCTGTTCTGGATTAGTTGACATTAAAATGTAGTCATATAGCAAATACTTTTGTCCAAAGTGACTTACAATTGAGGAGGCATTCAACGATTCAACAAGAAGAGGCAATACATACAAGAAATGATAATTGTACAAAGGAACTTTTAGTGCTCAGAGCGTAAAGGGGAGTGTTTTTATTTTTTAAGAAAGAGAAAAGTGTTTTTACAGGCGGTTTGTCAAGCCCTCTCATCAGTGTGAAGCACTTCATAAATTCAGTTTTTTAATATATAATAATGTGTCCATTGTAAATGTACAGAGGGACTCTTGTGCAAATGTAATCAAACTTAAATAAAACAGTAAACTTGTGAAATATTGCCGTTTGAAATTAATTTTTAAAAATATTTAATTTGAACATATTTTTTCAGCAATTATCTTAACATGCTGATTTAATGCTAAAGAAACATTTAATATTGGTTTCAATGTGGAAAAAAGTTATGCTTATTAAATAATATTTTATTATTCATTTGATTTGGTTGATTTGGCTTTGATCCTTAGGTTTAGTCCCTTATTTTTCAGGGCTCGTCACTGTGGAATGCACCGCCTATATTATAATATTCATTCATTCATTTTCATTCGACTTAGACCCTGATTTGTCTGGGGTCACTGCAGCGGAAGGACCCGCCTAATTTATTTTATTTTTATTTATTTTATTTTATTTTTTTTATTTTATTTTATTTTATTTTATTTTTGTTCAAAATGTATTGAAAATAAATCCCACTTAGTTTCACATGTTGTTATATTGTTATAAGGTTTAGCTCATAATTGTCTAAGCTTTTTATTATTCATGTAGTATATGAAATCTAAAAACATTACATTAAACAAACAAAAAAAAAAAAACTTTTTTCTCTTATGTATTTATTCTAAACATTCACAATGTTTTCTTTTCAACAGGTGCTGTATAATTGGACCATACCACTGCACTCCCAGCGAAGTGACCAAATTCTGAGAACAAGGACATTTGAAATGGTTAGCAGGTACGATTACGCATCAGTTGCAGTAATGAACTGACAAAAACCTGAACCAAATGCATTGTTATATGATGATTTGCAGTAGTTCCTGACAGCATGGTTTATGCAGTTGTGTGTCTCCATCTATGTAACGTATCTCTTTTTGTCCAGCGCTCCTATTCAGATCAGCGTTCAGGCCTTTCTGCTGGACAATCAGGTAGTTCCTCTGTCCATGACTAACCAGTCGCTGTACGTGACGGTGGAAACACAGGTGCTCATCGCTGGTCTGATCCTGGCAGGAGTCTACGTGCTTATTATCTTTGAGGTAAAAATTTATTTTCACACCACAAGATAATCCGTTTAGTGTTTTTTTTTTATGATTCATCATCACATTTCATCCCTTTAAACATGATCATGCCACACTGACGTCATGTCAGTTTTGTGTGGACACGTCCATCCTCTTGTTAAGTTGTGACGCATTTCACAGTTTCCAGGTTCAAGCCTCTCCTCGTTTGATTTGAGAAAACTCAATCTCAGTAGCCGTTTATGACCACTCTTTGACTATTTGGCATTAAACATGAACATTATTAAACTCATGATTTTTTTACATGATTAAGAAACAGTTATGATTGTAAATGATATATTGAATATTTACTACTAATATTGCCATGGGTATAGCCAATGCTGCTGATAAGGCATTTAAACATAAATAAATAAATATGATTATAATAATTTATTATTATTATTATTTATTTTTTTTTTGTTAACAACTGTTTGAGTTTTTCAGGAAACAATATAAAACGGAAAAAAACAAGAGTAAATTTAAGTTTTAGTTTACTTTTGCCTTTATTTTAAAAATGTTTGGACCCAGAAACTATGACACCCCACATAAAAAAAAATACTAGGGTAATTTAAGTATCACTAAATTGTTTTTTTAACCACAGCCTACTCTAGTAAATTTTATTATACAGTATATATATTCTAGAATCTATAGAAATTTGATAAATAGTATTAACTCAGACCATGTACAATGGACATCACATGTAAAGTCATATTTTTGCTTCCAGAGCAATGCACATAATTTAAAGCCTGATGTCCATGATGTTGGACTTTTTTTTCATTCAGTCAATCGGCAATAAGGTTCTACCAGTAAAAAAAAGAAGAAAATCCTATGGCGACGCAGTGGCGCAGTAGGTAGTGCTGTCGCCTCACATCAAGAAGGTCGCTGGTTCGAGCCTCGGCTGGGTCAGTTGCCGTTTCTGTGTGGAGTCTGCATGTTCTCCCTGCGTTTGCGTGGGTTTTTTCCGGGTGCTCCGGTTTCCCCCACAGTCCAAAGACATGTGGTACAGGTGAATTAGGTAGGCTAAATTGAACGTAGTGTATGAGTGTAAACGAGTGTGTATGTTTGTTTCCCATCCGCTGCGTAAAAATGTGCTGGATAAGTTGGCGGTTCATTCTGCTGCGGTGACCCGGATTAATAAAGGGACCAAGCTGAAAATAAAATAAATGAATGAATATTTGCATATTTAACACTGCGTAAAATATGTGTTGAAGAAAATGATTGAAGCACTTTGTTCCAAACACAGAAGTAACATTTCCATTGGATTAATTCACATTTATTGAATTGAATTGGTAGCTTTAAACCAGGATTATTTTTAAATTTGTGGGATCAGATACTGAATATGTTTGTTCAGTGGATTTTAATAATGTGAAGTCTGTAAAACAAAAACCTCAAAATTAAAGCTAGATTTTATAGTTATCAAATTTGTAACCTTGAGAGAAAACGTAAAGACCAACAATTTGTATGATTTTTTTTTTGATTTCATGTTGGTTTGTTGTTTTAGCAGTACAGCTGTGTTTTGACCTCTGATGAAATGTGAATTTTTATTTTTATTATTATTAAACATAAAATTAAATTACTAGTATTTTTTCATGTGCGTGACAGCAGGTTTCAGAAGGACGAATAGTGGTCATGGTGGAGATATTGTTCATAAACGTTACAAAGCTGTGCTTGTAAATGGAGTATTGTGCTCGTGTGTCCTTGGTTGTTCTCAATCTCACGTATTTTGTTTGTTTTGTTTCTTGTACCACTGTTGAGCACTAGAGGTCACTGGGCTCTACTGATATTAACAGGATGAGTTTTATTTATCTGGCTCACACTGACTGTGAGTCCACAGAGGTACTGGATTTTAGGAAGATCTAAAAGTAACATATGAATTAACATGAGGATTTAGAGAGCTCAAATTTTATTTCATGACCAGATTGTTTTGGTTCAAATGGGTAAAATCATTTCCCCCCTCATTTTACTCATCATAATAATTTGCTGTAAATGGTATTTTTTAAAGATTAAAATCCCTCTTCCTGTCCTTAGGTCATTTTGACTCAAACTGTGTTTCACTCAAACTCATTGTATTGGATTAATTGTTTGTTTGTTTGTTTATTTATGTATGTATGTATGTATGTATGTATGTATGTATGTATGTATGTATGTATGTATGTATTTATTTATTTATTTATTTATTTATTTATTTATTTATTTATTTATTTATTATTTATTATTTGTTTGTTTGTTTGTTTGTTTTAATTTTTATTTATTTGTTTGTTTTAATATTTATATTTGTAATCATTTGTTTGTTTGTTTTTATTTGTTTGTTTGTTTATGTATTTGTTTATTTGTTATAATATTATTATTTTTATTTATTTGTTTGTTTTTATTATTTGTTTATTTATTTATTTATTTATTTGTTATAATATTAATATTTTTATTTATTTGTTTGTTCTAATATTTATATTTGTATTAATTTGTTTGTTTTTATTATTTGTTTGTTATAATATTAATATTTTTATTTATTAGTTTGTTTTAGTGTTTATTTATTTATTTGTTTTTTATTTATATTTTTATATGTGTTTATTTTGTTTTATTTATTTGAACTAAGACATTGTTATTTTTGTACAAGCACATTCAAAACAAGTGAAAATTAAAGAAGATACACACAGTAAACAATATGTGGAAAAGTTGACTCAACTTAATATTGTAAGGCATCTTGCTGCAGAACTTTTTTGAGTTGACGCAACTTAAACAGAGTGAAATGCAGTACTTGGGTTGAAAGTTGAGTCAACTCAAAAAAGCTCTGGAGCAAATTGCCTTACAATTTTGAGTTGAGTCAACTTTTTTTTATAGTGTCAATTTGCCCTGCATACAGATTAATGAAATATAGGGATTTTTTCTGTATGGGGATAAGAGTAAACATAAATGCCTTTTTCCAATAATATGCAAAAATATAAAAATTCACACAAAATTACTTGAAAATAAAATAAAATAAAATAAAATAAAATATTTTTTTTCGTTAAATACATTTTTTTATCCATGAGGGGGCACTTTGTAAAACAACACGGGAGGATTTTTAGCTGAAACTGATTCAAAACAAAACTCAACAACTACAGACATGTTTAGATTCAAAAACAAATACAAGCAATACATAAAAACTAAAAATCTAATACATATTGCTCTTGAAACTTAACATTATTTATAACATTATTATCATTATTATCCACACCCCTGGCAAACTAATCCTGGGTGCATTCACAAAAGTCTGAAGCACAAATATCCCGATGCTTTGGTAGTTTGCACACACTAACATAATACTACATTTTACATACTGTAGGTTGCAGCATCCAGGATATACACAAGTACAAATTTGATAATAATAAATATTAAGCTGACCCTCCAGACATATCTTCAATGTACGTTATTATAAGCACTCCTCCACATTTAAACTTCCTCTTCTCCCTGTAGTGCACACATTTTAGAGTTTTAGTGTGGCTCCAGGGGGACACGAGGGCAGAGGGGACGTCCCTTCTTAATTACATTTATTTCTTCAGGAGGGACAGCATGCTGCGTGTCCGCTAGTTTAATTAGGCCTTTGTGAGAATGTTAATGGAGACTTTGGGGGCCCCATGTATCCGCTTTCACCAAAACACTGTGATAATACTAATGCTTCATAGCTATGACTACACTGTCATCAGGATACTGAGCAAATTAGGTTTATCTTTTCAGAATTGAACTAATTCTTTATTTCATGCTGATCGGGTGAGTCGCTTTATTTATCTAATTGTTAAAACATGATTATTTTGCATTAATGTTGTTTTTTAACTTAATAAATTTTTAAGTAAATTTAATTTAATAATTATTATTATTTAATTAAATTATTTATTTAATTGCTTATTAAATCTATTTTATAAGTTTACTTCATTTTGTATGATTTTTATTTATTTTTTATTTAATTTTTATTTTTTTTCTATTCCAATCGTGGAATGTCGTACATTGTTTGTATGTTTATTTATTTTATTTATTTTTCTATTATATTCACTGTTTTTATTTGATCTAATTTCTTTATTTTATTTTTACTTTTTATATATTTTATATTTACTATATATTTATATACTTATCATTCTTTTCTTTTCTTTTTGTTTCATTTTCTTAAAAAAATTTGATATGCTATTTATGCATTTTTTATTATTAATATGTTTAAATATTTGTTTGTTTCCTTTTGTTTGTTTATTTTTCTATATTATAATCACTGTTTCTATTTTATCTAATTTCTTTATTTTATTTTATTTTATTTGTAGGATTATTTTATTTTTTAATATTTTATTAATTTTTATTCTATTTACTTTTTAGATACTTATATTATACTTATATTTTTTCTATATACTATTTATGCTATTTATTTTTTCATTTTGTTTGTTTATTTTTCTATATTCAGTTTACTGTTTTTTATTTTATTTGTTTATTTCATTTTGTTTGTTTATTTTTCTATATTGTATTTGCTGTTTTTTATTTTATATATTTATTTTATTTTTCTATATTATAATCATTCTTTCTGTTTTACTTTATTTGTTTATGTTCTTTTATATATACAAAAAATCTGATTATTTATTAAAATTTTCTATTTTCTATTTACTATTTATTCAGTTTACACTTTTATTTTATTTGAATATGCAGTCTATTTGAAAGCATTGAGAGAAAGAGAGAGAGAAAAAGTTGAAATCTTATAATAAAAAACTCAAAGTCTAGTTCCAGCCTTTTTGAGGCAATCAAAAAGTGTTAAGAAAAACATTCAATTTTAATGAAACATACCTCACACATGACAGCGTGAGATTTCCGAAGAAGTATCTTGACGTCTAAAATAAGCTCTCTAACTTATTCTACTCGTGCCTTTATGTCCAGCTCTTTCCATTTTTTTTTAGCTTGAAATCTTTCAAGTTGATTTGCATTACAGATTTCATTTTGCATTTCAGTCCTTCGGACCACATTGTAAATAAGCAAGTGTTTGTTCTATTGACCTGTTTTCATGTTCTTCTTGCATCTGCATTGCATGACGGTTTTTCTGCTAATCCTCAGAGCTGATCTAGAATCAGCTTTCTGAAAACTGCTTTGATTAAAAGGGCTCAGATGGTGAGTTTCATCAGCAACCCTGATAGCTAAAACCCATTTGCCCCAAGAGAGGGCAAAACCCGAAATCTGAGATACACAACAGCACGACATGCTTATAAATATTAATATGCCTTAAAAGACTCCTGAATAATGCATTTCTCCACAATCTAATTGCAGATATCTTGTAAACATTTTAATAATGGCTGATAGATTATTTCTGAATTAGACTGGAGTTTCACAGTAACTGGGGGTCTTTGGACCTATAAAACCAGCGTTATATCTTACCCATTTAATTTTGACTATGAAGTGTTTCTTGCCCTATAATTGAGACTAATTGGTGAAAATCACCAAACAGAGAAGCATTAGTCTCAGAGGATGCTTTCTTATGCAGAACAGCACAATGTATATCCATGTTGCTGATTAATTCTGCAGAGAAAGCAGTGTTCAACGATTTATCTTAATGACCTGTTTTAGACTTACAATCACAACATTGCGCCGAGCGTTCCTCCTCCTCGGGGAAGTTGTCGGACTGACACAGATTACTTGCTCCTTGGAGAGTGGAGTCATTAGCTGTTAGCCCGAATGTTATGTTACTCGTTGTCCTTCTCTTCGCTCTTCTGGCTGATTACACTGTTCTTGTAATGATGGCTTTATTGTGCCTCGTGATGTCGAGAGAGGTACATCAGGTATTTGATTGTGGCGTCCTGCGTGGTCAAGAGCTCTTAACAGGAAAACAGATGCTGAGGATGTTGATGGCTGACACGCTGTTGGAGGTGCTGATTTAGCCCAGAGAGTGATTGAAGAGCAGATGACCTGAAGATGTTGTTGAATGACGCAAGATCCAAAGCTGATGGAAGATTCTATGAATTTGTCTTTGCTGCTACTGTTTTGTTTACTGTATTTTGTTTTTTATCCCATTCAAATAGATTATTGAGTGGAGAGCAGCTTTGATATTTGTGGTCATTTGAATATTTATTACTAAGTTAAAATAAAGGTCACACTTTATTTTGATGGTTTGTTAAATTTAAGTTACATTGCATCTACGTGCCAGCTAATTCTCCTTAGAGTATAAGTAGACTGGTTGGGGTATAGGTTAGTGTAAGTTGACTTGTACTTGCAAAGTTTCTTATAGTCAGTTAAATGTCTTTAGTAGCAGCATCAACAGATATTAAGCAGACAGTCTACTAATACTCACATGGACCATCAAAATAAAGTGTTACCAAAATAAATTAAACAAAACTGTGGTTCTCTAATGCTAACACTTTCTATTCTTTTTTCTGCTTATATTAGAATACAATTAAATATAAAAATAAAGTCAAATAAATAAATTTTTTACTGCTCTCGTCTTCTAATAGTAAATTTCTGTTATATTTTTCTATTCTCTGCACAGGTAATTAAGTTAATTAATTTTCTAATTTTACCGACCACTTTATTAGGTACACCTGTCCAACTGCTCGTTAATGCAAATTTCTAATTAGCCAATCACATGGCAGCAACTCAATGCATTTAGGCATGTAGACATGGTCAAGATGATGTGCTACAGTTCAAACATGTGCATCAGAATGGGGAAGAAAGGCTATTTTAGGGACTTTGAATGTGGCATGGTTGATGGTGCCAGACGGGCTGGTCTGAGTATTTCAGAAACTGCTGATCTACTGGGATGTTCATGCACAGCCATCTCTAGGGTTAACAGAGAATGCTTTGAAAAACAGAAAATATCCAGTGAGTGACAGTTCTGTGGGCGCAAATGCCTTGTTGATGCCAGATGTCAGAGGAGAATGGCCAGACTGGTTTCTGCGGATAGAAAGGCAACAGTAACTCAAATAACCACTCGTTACAACTGAGTTATGCAGGAGAGCATCTCTGAAAGCACAACACATCAAACCTTGAGTCGAATGGTCTACAGCAGTTGAAGACCACACCGGGTGCCATTCCTATCAGCTAGGAACAGGAAACCAAGGCTACAATTTGCACATGCTCAGCAAAATTGGACAATAGAAGATTGAAAAAACATTGCCTGGTCTTGATTTTTGCTGCTACATTCAGATGGTAGGGTCACAATTTGACATCAACAACATGAAAGTATGAATCCATCCTACCTTGTGTCAACAATTCAGGCTGGTGGTGGTGGTGTTCTAATGGTGTCTGGGATATTTTCTTGGCACACTTGGACCCATTAGTACCAATTGAGCATTGCGTCAATGCCACAGCCTACTTGAGTATTGTTGCTGACCATGTCCATCCCTTCATGACCACAGTGTACCCATCTTCTGATGGCTACTTCCAGCAGGATAATGCGCCATGTCATAAAGTGTGAATCATCTCAGACTGGTTTCTTAAACATGACAATAATTTTTCTGTACTCAAATGGCAATCCACAGTCACCAGATCTCAATCCATTAGAGCTCCTTTGGGATGTGGTGGAACGGGAGATTGGCAACATGTATCTGCAGCAACTTTGTGATGCTGTCATGTCAATATGGACCAAGTCTCTGAGGAATATTCCCAGTCCCTAGTTGAATCTATGCCACGAAGGATTAAGATACAGTGAATCTAAAGGCGATACACTTAAAAAATTTTTCAGAGATGACTCCTTGGATTTACTCAATTTTTTTACGTAAGGTGGTAGTAAACAATTTATCTGTGTTGAATTTAAACAAACAAATTAAGTTGAACATTAATAAACTTAATTTGTTCGTTTAAATTCAACACAAATAAATTGTTTGCAACAGTTCTGCATGCAACACTTTTTTCAGTGTAGGGGGTCCAACCCCGTACTAGTAAGGTGTACCTAATAAAGTGGCCATTGTGTGTATGTAGGTATATACAGTATATATATATATATATATATATATATATATATATATATATATATATATATATATATATATATATATATAGTGTATGTATGTACGTAATGTAATGTAAAAGTGTTACAGTCAATATTTATTTTGGAATTTTGGATTACAAAGCAGTGCTTTAGAACGTTACAGACCTTAACTGAACTTGTCTAGTGAACCATATTAACCTAGTTAGTATATTGCAAAATAACTAGTAAAATATTATGTATTGTCATCATGACAGAGACATTAGACATTAAAAGAAATTCTATATTAGAAGTAATTTATTAAAACTATTGTTTAAAAAATGTGTTTACATTTTTTGCGTGGTTCTTGTTGCTTTGATTACCTTTTATTTGTAAGTTGCTCTTGATAAAGGTGTCTGCTTAAAGATTAAATTTACATAATTGGACAAAAAGGGTCAGAATGAATGAAAAATATGAGAAATGAGGTGGATCAAACTGCAAAAAGACATGAAGTGTGGGTATGAAAGTTATTTCTCCCAAATCTTATGCATTACATATTTGATCGTTCTTGGTAAGGTGTGCACCATTGTTATTATTGCAAATGTGGAAAGTTGAAAATCTCAACTGTTATAATTTAGTGTAATGGTGAGCATAGCATCTTATAGCATGCAGCTTGTTGTCTTGAGGTGTGCGATTGCTTTTATAAGCAATAAGATATAATTTTTTCTTTTTTTTTTGCATGATGGGTGAAAAAATGAGAAAAACACACTGATTTAGAGCTAATCAAAAACAAAACACAAACAATCATTTTATGTGTGGTGCACTGTGGCCAATGTTATGACCAAATTTTGTGAAAAATATTTGGCAAGGTATATTGTGATCCAACTTGGAGTTATTATTCTGATGAAATATGTTTTCCTCTAGCTTATTTGTCTTTGTTTGTCTGTGTTTGCAGATTGTTCACCGCACTCTGGCTGCAATGTTAGGATCCCTGTCTGCTCTGGCAGCTCTGGCTTTCATTGGAGATGTACGCTTTATTTATTCCATTCTCATAAAGATTGTTTGCCTTGAGTCGAGAGTTAGGCTTTGGGACTTCGTTAGTTATATAAACTGCAGTGATGGTCTTTAGTCTTATTAGCTTAAAGTATAAGAACACAGCTCCAGAACATTCTGTCTTGTGCTGAGGTCTGCATGAATAATATAGAAGGGGCAAACATGGATTTAAATTACAGTACAGAGTCTGAGTTTCAGAATAATATGTAAAGAAGCACCTACAGTACATTTACACAATTAAATAAATCAGACCGGGCCATTTCACATAAATGGGATTTTGGCAGTAATTGCATTAATTGTCTCTAATGTGTAGCACAGGATGGTGAATAATTAAAATCCTGACTTTCTCTTTGTGGCTCTATGTATTAGTTATTGTATTACAGAAACCAGAGATAAGTGCTTTATTTAAGCGCAAGTAAAATTACTCAGTATGCTTCTGTCTCTATGATAGATGGAGTGCCCTTTAAAAATACCCAGAGCTCTGTAGTCTCAAATCACTTTTTTTTCCCACTTAAAACTTTATGAACTTTGAACTTGGTTGGTTGTTAGACTCTACTGTAAACAAAATGCAGTATTAAGGTTTAGCTGGTATTGTAATGAATCTTTAATATTCAAAGAGCCTAGTTAAGACTGAAATGTTCTCATGCTGTTGTCTCTCTACTGTAGAGGCCGAGTCTTATGACTGTTGTGGAATGGATTGACTATGAGACGCTTGCCTTGCTATTTGGAATGGTGAGTATATAAAAAAATCTTGTCTGTAGGAGCTCTCATGCTCGTTATTTTTCCCAGTAAACTTTAGTATTGTGGTTACAATGTAGTATATATGTTTGAAATACTACTACATTTTAAAATGTATTGAAAAACATCCCCCCCCCCCCCCCCCGTTAAACAGCATTAAGGAAATATATTGTCTCAAAAGAATGAAGATTAATAATAATAAATAAATACATTATCATTAGTCAATTAACAAACTAATCATTTTGATTCACATGACGTGTACTGCAGCATTGACTATAGTATACTGTCTGAAAAATATATACTATAGCAGTACACTATTTTAAAACTCCAGTAGTGCAATCCTACCATAGTGCCTGTAAACGTGCGACCCTATTAGACGCTTATCTCTAGTGTAATGAGATGCTTTAACTTGCCTGTTGACAAAGACGCTCTAATTGTTTGACAGGCTGACAAACCGCTAATCCAACCTCTAACCTCAACCCATATCAGCCTCTCAGTCAACCTGCCAGGCACTAAATAGGGCACATTTCTTTAATGTGCTATTAACCTAGTGCTTCTTTTAGAAAGAATTCTTCAGGGGTCATTTATAGGGTTACTTTACATTGCAGAAGAAATGTAGGGTGTGTTATGTGTGTCTGGATGTCTGCTTAATAAGAAATGAGTCCATGTTTTGCATGGTTATGTGACAAAGTGTGACAAAATATACGAAAACACGTTAAAACACACAGGCTATGTAATATTATTACCGAAGTGGCACCCTTTTCAAGATCTGTGTTTGTTCAATGGCTGTCTCCATGGAAACAAATACGCTCAATCAGCCCTCATCCAGAAGACTACATGTAGGAGTATTTGAGGAAAAGCATAAAAGAAAATCAGACACAGATGATAGAAAATGAATCACAGCATCTGTCAATTTTAAAGATGAGCGTACGAGGCTGAGACGCATTTTACATTCGAAATGTTAGCTTAATGAACTCAGCAATGTTGATGTTTCACTTTATTGATTTCCTGTATTTTAGGAATTCAGTTTCTGAATCTGAGGCAGAGAAAAAAAAAAAACAGGGGAAGGATATATGTGGCATGAAATTGAGTGAGAGGCTGTGTGATATTTGAGACTTAATGTGATTTTATAGCAACACATGTGGCAGTAAGTGCTAAAAATAGAAAGCATGAAATGTTGAAGTCTCATAACCCTTCCTGTTTACTTTCAGATGATACTGGTGGCAATATTCTCGGAGACTGGTTTCTTTGATTACTGTGCGGTAAAGGTGAGTTCTCTTGTTTTACAAATGCTTATTTGGGATTTGTTTTGCATATGTCTGCTTATGCAAGATACAATGTCTTTGTTCCTGAGATAGTTCGGTCCTCATGTTTTCTGTAAAATTACACTTTATCTTTCCAACCCACCTTAAATATAATTATTGGGCAAAGATGACTAAAGGATTTCATGCATTAAAATAAATCCAATAGTACAAGTGAAATTTTCCCTGTTACATAAGAATTTGTTAAGCCTGATTTCTACTTTCGCCTGGCACCGCATCGCGCACCTCCGCTGACTGAGCGTGCACCTCACAAAACGAACAAGTCTTTTATACTTGATGCGTTCGCTGTTGTGATATTCTTTAAAGCCACAGGGGGCAGTCAAAAGAAACCCACCCTGAGGTTAGACGGATAAACAGAGAAGTAGGAAATTTCCGGAATATCATTAATATCATTCAAGATTGTTTAACTAATTATTTTTATAAATAAATTTTAGTAATTATAAAGATTTTTATAACCATTCAAGATTTTTTTTAAATTGAAACTTATATGCATCTCTTGCTTTTGTTCATATCTCAGACAGTTCCACCTTTTAAAGGTCGACATGGGTTTCTCTACAAGTATATTGTTTTATTATAGCAAAAATAAAAGCAAAAAAAAAAAAAAAACACTTACTAAAAATCTAAAAACTAAAGACTTTGTTATTTAGCCCACTCAACTATTCATAAATTACTGTCTGGTTAGTTTGCCCTCTACTGATATGCTAAAAAGGCAATAATGGTCGAACATTCCTGACAATTATCACCAATAAAGCCTAAAAAAGCAGGCCATCAGTATATTGTAAATCGATAGGTTCAAATATTCTTTTCCAGTTATCAAAGAAATTATTTGTTGCTTTAATATAGTTTTGTAACTATTACATTGCTTTAAATTCAAAATTGTAATATATACATCTGTGTTAAACTTATAAATGGTGGAAAAACACATTATGTAAAATTAAAATCACCTGGGTCTCCACTTTTGCCATGGCCTCACTTTTTGGTTTTAACAAACTTACCCCTCACGTTTTTCTACACCTTTACAAAAATTTCCACCTTTCGGCTTTTGGCTTTGGCTGTTGCAATTTCTTGCCAATAATTATTGTCCATCTAGTTATCCCTATGATCAGTCATGGACAGATCATAAAGATGTCTGTACAGTCGTACCTGTTTAAAAAAAATCCCTGCAAAGTGTTATATATTTAACTCAAATCAAATGCAGCACCGCATGAACTGTTTGTTTGAGTCTCAAAAAAAAAAAAATGCCCTCCTCCAGCTGAAATCATGTCGCGCACAACCAAAGCGAAAACATCCATGATGTCACATTTGGCACACACAGTCAAGTGTACTAGCGGACGCATCAAGTTTAAACTAGGCTTTACTGTATTTATTTTGTTCTCAGCAAAAATCAATGCCTGTGATGTGTTTGCCAACAATAGATTATAAATCGAAAATCATCTTGGCAGGCATATTTAGAACAAGAACCATTTGACATAATAATAATAATAATAATAATAATAATAATAATAATAATAATAATAATAATAATAATAATAATAATTCCTTACAATTATATAGCATTTTCTGGACACTTAGCGATTTACACACATTTTTTAGGGGAATTTCCTCATCCACCACCTGTGTGCAGCATCCACATGGATGACACGACGGCAGCCATATTACTAGACAGCACTATGCTACTGCTAGACAGCTAGATGCTACTGAGTTCAAACAGCCTATAACAAGCGACACACAACACCATGACGAATGAGCGCACTCTCTCTCATTCACACACACACACAGCATCACAGCAGATGCACGCGTTCTTTCTCATTTACACACACACACACACATGCACACACACACACACTCAGCACCACGGCGAAATGTACTCCCACGCCACAAGAAATCTGGTCAAGTCCCATGGTACAGTGTGGGAATGCAGACATCTACCTTGGTTTAACGTTTCATCCGAAAGAAGGCACTCAATGAGCCAGAGTCCCCATCAATGAACTGGGGAGTTAGGACCCACACAAACTACAGGTTTAGCACCCTTTTGTCCTCACTAAACCCACGTCCAGCAGCAAACTAGCTTTCCCATGTGATCTCCCATCCAGGGGTGCGTTTCCCAAACAACAACGTAACTCGCAGCTGAACTATTATAGTACTATGCATAGTTTGGGAAAAGACTTATGTAGTGACGAGTGTTTCCCAAAACCCCTAGTTTCTCTGTCGCAGATTCATCACTTGAACCATGTTAGTTATATTGTAAAATGCCCATAATGATGCTCTAAACAAGGTGGAGTAACTACTTCTTTAGAGAATAGCCCCATAATTTCTTTGTGTGAATTATATTGTTTTACACGCACATGGATTTAAAATAAAATCCAATATTAGTTTTGGTAAAAAAAAATGCTCTCGCTTTCCATATTAATTGAAATATATGTAAATGGCACATATAGGGCCTATGTGGGTTTTACTAATATTATTGAGAAGTTGAACATTACATGTTCTATTAAATAAAATAAAAAAAATTCCTAACAAAAGCTAACACTATTCTAATATTATATATAAATTATATAAATAAATAAATAATGATGCTATTTATTATAAATATATTTACTTTAAAATTTATATTAATAATATTCATGATTATTATTATTATTATTATTATTATTATTATTATTAGTAGTAGTAGTAATAGTATTAAGTAGGATATTGTTTATTTATTTTTTATTTTTTGAAAAGCTTTTTCACTTTTACAATTTAACACATGCAAACCACAGCAGAAAGTTTTAACCAACAGGCCCATGTCATATTCAGTACAGATACTTAAAAGAATTAACGTATGCTTTTTGTTTTCACAAGCTTTGGAGACGTAAAATAAATTCTGATTTTAAATAATAGCTCATCTATGGCTTTTGCCATGAGGCTGTGTTTAAAATGATATCAATGTTTTCAACGTGCACTGCGAAGGGAGCACAATTGTAAACATGAAGATCGCTAAAACTGAACTGTAAAAATAGTTTGAAAGCAAATTACACCTAAGAGAGAGGACCTTAATGCTTTTTTCTTTTTTTTTAGAATAATTCCAAGTTTAAATGTTAGAATGTTCTAAATGAATAGGGCATAGGGGGAATAAGTGGGAATAGAACACAGCCAAGAACTATGTTTCAAACTACAGCTCCAGAGGTGTAGTTTCAAGTGCTCAAGTTTGTGACGCAGTTTGCGAATGTTTGTTGGAGATTTGGAAAACGGCAAATCAACAAACTATGTTTGTAATGACAGAACTTGCGATGTTAGTTGGCTAACGATGGTTTTGGGAAACGCACCCCAGATATTGACCAGGCGACCAGGCTTTGCTTGAGTGGTCGACCATGTCAGAGTTGCAGAGAGCTAGCTGCCAGCCAAAAGATAATAAAAGATTATACAGTATTTAGGAATCACGGTGCAGGCAAAAATTTTCATTTTAAATATATGTGCTTACAATATGTAAAACTGATTGTTTTATCAATTTATTGAGCAAAAATAAAATATTTTAATAATTAAAAATCTCATAAAAAATATAGTACGATCACTTTTATTTTAAATATATTATTAATGACTGGTCAGAATAAGTATGTTATTTCATTTTTACATAAATACATTTGTTAAACACTCAATGACAATGAGCGTACATTATTTGACCTTTATTTTGAAATGGATTTATTTGAAGCATTAAAATAGGCATTACCTGTGGAATACATAACCTGCTTTACATGATTATAAAAGCACTTTTTAAAATTGCGTATGTGCACACCATAATGAGACGTCGTGTATTTGACCCACCAAATAACAGCGATCTCTGTTGCTGATTCAGTCTGATATGCTTTCATTTTACATTATTGATGTTCCAGTTTTGAATTTTGTCAGTGTAATCCCATCATTTTACTTTACCCAGTAAGCTTTGGGGCAAAGGAGCAGAGCTATTACCATAGCTGCCCTGAAAATCCCTATCGTTCACAAGCAAGCGGTGAGAAGCCATCCAATGTTTTATATCTGAAATTTATGGGTGAACGTCAAGCCCTGATAGAGACAGAAAAAAAAGACATCTGATGGAACAAATCTTTGTGAAATGATGCAAAAGTTTACAAATCATGAAGAAAATGAGTTCTGAAAGATAATGAAAGCCTTGAAATAAATCTACGATGAACTTCATTGGATGGATATCTGTTCAAGGATTCTGTGGATAAAAGCTCTTTTAGATCATTAAAGATGTGCTCGGGCAAACGAGGGCGCACGCTTATGGCTTCTCATCCCATTCATGAATATTAAGAGGGTTTTGGACAAGGGCATGTCCAACAAATTAAAATATTGCCATAGAAACAACTTCTGATTGAATTCAAGAGACCAACTCGAGAGCATGAAGTTGGATTGTTTAATTTGAAATAAGAGTATAGTCGTGTGTGGGGGTTTGCATTGTTTTTTTTTAGTTACCGCCAATTTCCGACAGGAAGGTGGGCTTCAACACTCCAGTGTTACCACTTGATTAAAATGATTCCAGACAGTCTGATAATGTCTCCATAGTGACAGGATCTTAAAGTGCTGCCATTTTCTTTCTATTCTTTCCAGGCTTGAACAGTCTTTTAGCAATAAAGCATGAATGAGCAAACACACTACGGATCTGTGTCAATTTTTAGACTGAATCCCTCATTAAAGCACACTTTTGAACGCTGTGTTGAGAGACCCCCTCAGAGGACTGCTCTTGATCCTTTATCTTTGAGCCACTGATAGATCTATCTCGTCTTTCCAATGAAGGATTTTTATGAAAACATGATTGTGGTAATGTTCAGAAAGGCATTTTTTTGTGTCTCAGTTAGTTTTTATTTCTGTGAAGTTATGAGAAAAGATCTAACTTTGTAAACTCATCTTTAAGGTATTCCCCACTGTGTTTGTTTGTCCCCACACAGGCCTATCAGTTATCACGAGGAAGAGTTTGGCCCATGATTATCATTCTCTGCTTAATTGCTGCCATTCTGTCTGCCTTCCTTGATAATGTGACAACTATGATGCTCTTCACCCCTGTGACTATAAGGTATACTAGTCTTTTTTAATATTTCTTTTACCTATATCATTATTGTGCTAGCATTTAAATCAGCGTTTGGTCACAACCAGTTATTAAAAGTTGAATAATATAACTTATCATTAATTGAAGGCCCACACGGAATCTACGCACGCAGTTTCCTCAGATTTCTGCAGATTTCTGCAAATTTTTTAGCCTGTCCTTAATTCTGTTTATTTACTTTAGTAAATGTGTGTAAATCTATATTTATTCAGTTTTTTAATTATTTTTGGTAATGTTATTGACTGATATGTAAAGTTCATCTGATTTATGTATAATGCAGTTTGTACAGTATTTTCTGTGTTTTAGTAGATATATTATGAGAAACTTGCTTTGTCAAACAAACAAAGTGAATCTAATTGGATTTGCATTTTAAACATTTAATAAAAGTTTAAAAGATATTATTTTTTATTTCACATATTAAGGTTTTAGATATGATACTGCCAAAAAAATTCAGCAAAAATCTGCAGATTTTTACCAAAATAGCAAAAAACGTCCTCAGATTCCATCTGGCCCTATTTACAGTTGAAGTCAGAATTATTAGCCCCCCTAGATTATTAGCTCCCTGTTTATTTTTTCCTCCAATTTTTGTTAAATGGAAAGAAGATTTTTTTTCAACACAATTCTAAGCATAATAGTTTTAATAGCTCATTTCTAATAACTGATTTATTTTATCTTTGCCATGATGACGGTAGATAATATTTTACTAGATAATTTTCAAGACACTTCTATACAGCTTAAATTGACATTTAAAGGCTTAACTAGGTTAATTAGGTTAACTAGGCAGGATACAGTAATTAGGCAAGTTATTGTATAACGATGATTTGTTCTGTAGACTCTCAAAAAAAAATGCTTAAAAGGGCTAATCATTTTGTCCCTCAAATTGTGTTTAAAAAATTAATAACTGTTTTTATTTTTGCCGAAATAAAACAAATCTTCCAGAAGAAAAAATATTATCAGACATACTGTGAAAATGTCCTTATTTTGTTTATTAATTTTGTTATTTTGTCCTTATTAATTTAGGCCATTCCTCATATTACTTAAACCATAACAAAAAACTAAATTAGCATTTTGAAATTTCTCTTCAAAACCCTCACTTTGTTCATGTTTATTTCTCATTTCTACCTTCTTGATCATCTAAGCCTTATTAGTTGCACATGTCCCTCGTACTGTACTATGTTTATAGCCTGCTCGATCTTCTTACCGAGGGAAACATTAATATAGATAAAACATGAGTCGCATGTTAAACTCACTCATGGGACCCAAGTGAAACACTTATGAAATGTAAGGTTAGAATATTTTCCCATTATTAAGGTGACATTCTAAATAATAACTCAAACATTATTATTGAAATTTTAGCAATTTGCTATTCTGTTTATTACACTGTATACATTTAGTTACTTGTATTAGTTCATTTACAAAATAAGCAACAGGTTTATTCGCTATTTAAAATAAAATAGACTGAATGAATGTACTTATTTTTTTTTTAAATAAAGTCAACTAATTGTTTTTTGCAATATATTGGAATCATTGTCGTAAAACATTAACAGTATTGCATTGCTGCCCAACTCTCTAAGGAAGTCTATGGGGCAAACAGTTATGAATGCATATTGTGAAAGAACAATACCTCAGAGAAAAGAACCTCAGAAAACCTTTAGAATGCCTTAAATGTATTGTACACACTTCACAGTATATACTATATAGGCTATTTCATTTTTTTTTTTTTACAAACTGAGAGACGAATGCAGATCTTTTTATTTAGCAATCGACAATTGTCAGTATTGCTTAACTTGTATTGTACAGTATGTGAAATATTTAAAATATAAATATATATAAGACATTGTAAAGATGTCTGATCAGCTGAATACTAGAAGGCCTTGAATTTTCTTTGGACAAGAATTTCTCTTTCAGTCTGCTTAGAGTTGTAAAAGGAGTCAAAAAGTTATTTCACCACACTATAAACTTCCCACCCTATTTGCTCTTTTCAGCTCGAATGGAGCATATTTGAACCTTCCATCTTTTCATTCTTACACAGTCTCTTTCATGTGATTTATCTTGTATTTCATATTTATGTCACTTACAGTATATGTTGTATTTGCTTATATATGCTATTATTTATACAGGACACCACTTTTCTTCAGAAGCCACCCAGTGTGAACCAATTAGTTTCATCATGTGCCATTCCTGCTGAAAATAAATGTGTATAAAATAATCCACATACACGTTTGTTATAGCAAAGATACCTTTTTGGAATTTCTGCGAAATCCATCCATCAAATTCTTATCATCTTATTTGGATTCTAGAAATCCCTAGTCTGGTAGCATAAAATAAATCTATATTTCAAATAGCTATTAAAATGTGAGCCGCTGCCTCAGCGCTTTCATGACATTGCTGGTGAGAAATGACTCCCTTTTTTTTGATTATGCATCACCAATTGCATCTTCAAACACCTTCAGGGCTTCAGGGTTTAAAAGCAGAGAACGTACACACACACACACACACACACACACACACACACACACACACACACACACACACACACACACACACACGTTAAAGAATGAATTCTAAAAATTAGAGAGTTCAGCTCTTCGTTAACTGCCAATTTGCTTGTTGAAGTGCTTTCTTTACGCCAATTTAACAAAGGAAACTGATTTGCTTATCTTTGGGTTTGCTTGAAATTCAGTGTTAATAACTAAGCTTGTGCACAAACCTGGAATTTTGCGAAGCTCAGCTTAAACTTGCTTTTACTGAATTAGGCCCTCCCATCTTCCTGTTTTATTATATATATTACAAATGTGGCATAATTAAAGGTGCAGTTTGTCAGTTTGACACCCAGTGGTTGAACTAGTTATTGCATGCCTGGTTCAAAACAAACACAAGTGCGGGTTGCTAGATTGATGACACCAACAGCACTGTGCCTAACTGTCGAACCTAAAGGCTGATATAAGGCTGATTATTAAATCATGTATTAAATCAAGTAAAAGCAACGGTACATGATAGAAGGAATATTTTTCATATTAGAAGGAGTTTTTGTTTTAAAAAACACCAGAAATGTATTATTTAGAAACTATTTCTTGCAGCTGTATAACAAAAAAACTGACAATGATCACCTCATGTATACTGTGTTATATGCTCTATTCACTGCTAATAATGTGAGTTCAAATGCCATTTTACATGATTTTTATTGGCATACTACTGAAAGCAGCAGCAGATAGTTCACCTCAGATCTTGAAAATAACATAAACCATTTGAAATGGAACTTCTGTGTAAGCCAAGACAAATCAGTGATTTAGCATGTTCATTTAATAATGTTAAAGTAGTTTAATATGTGTTAACTAGATTATAAACCTTACCTGCTCACCCAATGTTTACGTTTGTAACATTGATATTATTTGCTTATTAATAACCACGTCATGTGGAACTCTGAATCTGCGTTTCGTTTGGAGTCTGCTACTGTCCCCTGGAAGTTGCATTTCAGTCACAGATGCATAGTTTGAGAGCGTTTCTGACTAAATTAATGAAAACCATTGTTTTCCGCCAAGGTAATCCGGGGTGCTGAAATATAATTGGTTAAACTGGCATAAGGCAGGTTAAATGACCAAAACAAAGACAGACTTTCCAGCGTGGAACACACTTTTTCAAAGCAGACTATCTGACTTTAGCATTGTTTTTCAAATAAACTATTATTTTCACATGTTTCTTAAATATCTGCAAATATTTTATGGTATTCGTATGCTTTAGAAGAGTCAAAAACTTACATACAGCACCTTTAAAGCTACAATCCTCTGTAAAAATACATTGGTGTAGTCACCGATAGTGCTTTAAAGGTGCTATACACACACACACTGGAGAGATTCATCCTTGTCTATTGTCTGTTTTATTTCTGCTATGCGTTTTGAGTGATAGAAATGTCTGCAGTTAGTTAACATTAAATTGTTTGCACTGCACTGACATTCCAGCTTCGCTAGTGCTAATCAGTGTTTTTTGTACACTAGGCTTTGTGAGGTGCTTAATCTGGACCCCAGGCAGGTCCTGATTGCAGAAGTAATCTTCACCAACATCGGAGGAGCTGCCACTGCTGTCGGAGATCCTCCCAATGTCATCATCGTATCCAACCAGGATCTCCGTAAAAAAGTATGTAATTATTTATCACCGTTAGCGTTTGATGCTAGGTCATTCACGGGTGAAGAGATATCGTGCTGCTGTCTTGTGCCTGTCGAAAGTGTGTCAGGGAACTTGTCGGACAAATTATACATGATTGCACAAATAAACAAAAAAACACACAGACACATGACCAAGCGTTTTTCTGGCATGGAATGAAAGCCTTGTGCCAAAACACCCTGTCACTAGCAACTCAAGGCTAAAGCACTATGGCATCCTGTCTTACACCTCAGACTATTAATTATGTAGAAATGTTTCTTGCCAGCTTCAGTTTCACTCTGCCAAATTCTCTCTCTCCATCGTTCTGTTTCTCTCGGCAGAACTGAAATCGTTTAACTTCCGTAAAGCAAAACTGCAATTGTGTAGCAGACAGTTTGTACAAAATCTGAAACCAACAATTTCTAACTTAGAGCATGTGGTATGTTTGGCTGCAATAGACTTGTTATTTACTGTCTCACACTTTCTTCACACTGCGTATAAGGTGTTCACATTCAAGAATCCAAATAATTCATGCAGTTTATAATGTGAGCACACAAATAACCATTTCAATTTAAATATCCAATTAATTTTGTAATGTGCATTCAGTATTAGTGTTTGTGTCCAGTTATCATAGCCATTTTCAATGTTATGAGTTTTTTTTTTTTTACCAAGTGAGGGTATAGAGATGAATTGATCAGCTAGCTAGATTAGATTTTGATGGAAATTTGTTCTGATCTTGGGCACAAACTGCATCGCAATCATTTTATGCTAGTGTGTAAATAGAACAGACTAGAAACACCAAAGACTGAGCCCAGAAAATCAAGTTTTCTGCATCTTTAGAAGTGTCTTCTTGTTTGACACTATTGTGCACAGCAATAGCAGCCTTATATTCAAAATTGTGGGGTTTATCTTTATACCCTGGGAACCAAAAAGTGTTTCCCTGAAACTCTTTGTTCTGAAGAATCACTTGGAATCCACCTTACACACGTTACACATTTCACTGTAATGTGTGATTTTATTTATTTGTTTGTTTGTCTGTCTGTTTGTTTATTTATTCATTTATTTATTACATTTAATCAAATAGATGATGCAGCTGCTAAGGAAGCTTTGAACAAGTGGTGAACAAATGCTAATTTCCTCCAGAGAGTTTTAAGACATTTTGGGCTCTATTTGAATGATCTAGGTGCAAAGTCTAAATCGCATGGTGCATGGTCTAACAAGGTTGTGCTTATTCTTCTAATGAGTTATGGTTGTGTTTTGAGCAAAACGTGCATTAAAACAATCAGAGTCTCATTTTCCATTCTCTTTAAGAGTCAGTTGTGTTGCGCCATGGTGCATTTGCTATTTACATGGCAGACTTTGTAAGTGGAAAAACTGAATGCTTCACTAGCGAGAAAACAGTTAAGACCATCTGCGCAAGAATAAAGAAAGAGCCTCCTCCATTCAGCCTCTTTACATTCTCTTTACTTTACTCCTTCACTTTCGTGAACAAGGAAACAGTGTTGTACGCACTCCACTGAAGACATTTATTAGCCTACATATTTAATTTTATTTGTCAAGCCCAAAAATTTGTTTAAAAAATATTTCTATATTCAGTTCTAATTTCCAGCAAATGAATAAATGAACAATAATACTGAAGTGTGGTCTAAATATATATCTAAACACTTCCTATTCTTATACCCCATACGTTTATGCATACGTCTCCAAAACCAGACACATCTAAACTAAAATATGCATATATAAAATAATACTCCTAATAATAACATTATATAAATGCAAATTTTTATAAATAAACTGATCCCCCCACTCCCCCTGCATGGATGCAGTGTTTTTTATATTTATGTAGAAAATAATAATTTTTGTAACATTTTAATTCTTTAATATTTTTTTTTTATTTTTTTAAATGTGAAAATTAGGGTTATGCTGGTCTGAAAATAGCAACAAATCATACCAAACACGTCTTGTGTCTAATTGAGTTGGGTGCATGATATTTAGGGCTCTATATTTAGATATCTAAGGCTGTATATTTATTTGTATATTTATTATGGAAATGTTTTTTTGCCATAAAAATAGCTTTGGTTGCTGACATGGCATTAAATAAACAATGCATTATTATACTAACTCAAATAAACATTACATGCAACTTTGACTTACTTTACATTAAACTGATTTAAAGTGTCAAGTTGAACCATGTATACCTTAAAATCTTAAGTTTAACATGGTTAAGCTTTTTTAATAAGTTAAAATAACATAAATATGTTGGCATGATGTTTTGATCTTTTTTTTCACAATGTACTCCATTATCATCCTTTTTTTGTCTTTTTTTTTGCTGGGTGCTGGATGACAAGGATTAATAATTAATAATAATTCCTCACATTTATATATTGCTTTTCTGGACACTCAAAGGGATTTTACACCTTTTTTTTGGGGAATCTCCTCATCCACCACCAGTGTGCAGCATCCACCTGGATGACACGATGGCAGCCATTTTGCACCAGATCGCACACCACACACCAGCTGATTGGTGAAGAGTCAACAAAGTGATGAAGCCAATTGTGATATAGGGATGATTAAAAGACCAACATGAGCATAGGCCAGTGGGAAATTTGGCCAGGATGCCGGGGTTAAACCCCTACTCTTTTTTTTTCGAAGGATATCATGGGATTTTTAACAACCACATAGTGTCTGGACCTCGGTTTAACATCTCATCTGAAAGATGGCACTCACTGAGCAGTATAGAGTCCCCCTCACTTTACTGGGGCGGTAGGACCCACTCCGACAGCAGGTCGAGCGCCCCCTGCTGGTCTTACTAACATCACTTCCGGCAGCTACCTAGCTTTCCCATGTGTCTCTCATCCAGGTACTGACTGGACGCAGCTTTACCTAACTGCTTAGCATTAAAAGGGAAAGTTCATGCAAAACTGAAAATTCTGTCATCATTTTACTCACCCCTTTCTTTTTCCAAACCTGTTTGAGATTATTTCTTCTGTTGAACGCAAAATAGGATACTTTGAGGAAAACTGGAAACCTGTTACCATTACAATTGTGTTTGTTTTTGTTACAATAGAAGTCAAATTTCCAGCTTTCTTCAACATCTTTTCTTTTGTGTTCAACAGAATAAAGAAACTCATAAATGTTTGGAACCACTTGCATCAAATATAGTGAGTTAATTCATTTTTTGGGGTGAGCTATCCCTTTAAGTTAAGCTGCATGAAGGACGTTTGTCAGTAAATCATATGCCAGAGTAATTTGCAGTTCATTCCACTGCGGCGACCCCTGATAAAGAAGAGAGCAAGCTGAAGGAGAGCATACAGCACCACTTCTACTTCAGCCTGCTCTTTGAAACAAGTCTAGTATGCGTTTCTTGATGCTGGTGAAAGTGACTGATTACAAAATATTGAGTCTGAAACATTGCTGTGTACTTACTTTCCTAACTTAATCACAGAACAGGAACACAAGGATTTTCTTTCCTTCTAGTACAACCTTTGAATCTATGTTCAAACTCTTTCTATCAAACCCTCAGTCAAAGGGAAGCACAATTTAAAGTTCCATCCTACCAACTGGACAAGGTCACGAGCAGCCTGAATAATCTTCAGGTTTATTATGTGACCTTAAAGCACAGAGTCTTGTGTGCTCCTGTCTTTATTGAGCCTTGTGAAAAACCGGATTGATTGAAAAGGTGAGGGAACATTTTTGATTTATTATTCACTTTAATGGAAAAGACAGAACCGTGGGACTCAGGTTTGTGCTTGTGATAGAAAATTCATGTTCATGTTCAGACAGAGACCAGTGTATGACCTTATTGGTGGTATGACAAAATATAAGTGTGACAGTACTGGAGTGTCTCATAGTTTGTCTTTTTGTTGTTGGGTTTGTTAATATGTTGCTCTTATTTAGTATTATGGGTTTGAATGCTGTTCAAATGGATAACACTTTGGATGCATTTATAACACACCTAAAGTATGCCCTTCAGTGGCAGATTAATCCTATTTGCATTGCATTTGCATTGCATTGCATTTAAATTGCTTTTACGCGTTTCGCAGAAACTTTTACCTAAAGTGATTCACATTGCATTGAAAGGTAAACGTTTGATCAGTTTTTGCTTTTATTGAGAATCAAATTCACAGCCTTGGTGTTGTTACTGTCATGTGCTGCTACCTGATTTAAAGCAAAACTACAATCTCAATTATGAAGTAATTTACATCCTGTAGTTTTTTGTCACTCAAACAGAAGAAATTTATTTCCGGCAGCTGGGGTGCTGAAAAAAAAAAAAATAACGGCCGTTAAATTACAGAAATTCACCGTAAAATAACGAATATTAAATTACAGAATTTTCCTTAAATTTCAATTTCTGGCAAATTTCTGTAAGTTAATATCCATTATTTTATGGTAAATTTCTGTAATTTAACAGGCCGAAAATAAACCGTAAAATTACGAATTTTTAAGTTTTTTTTACAGTGTACATATTTATAATTATAATTAATTTTGAGAATTTAATCATTTTGATTGGGTAGCAAGATGCCTTAGTGAATAACACTGTCATTTTACAGCAAGATGGTTGCTGGTTCGAGTACCGGCTGGGCCCCTTGCCATTTCTTTGTGGAGTTTGCATGTTTCCTCCAGGTGCTTCAGTTTCTCCCTCAGTCCAAAGACATGCCCTATAGGTGAATTGAGTCAACTAAATTTGCCTTAGTGTATGAGTGCGTGTGCGTGAATGTGACAGTGTACGATTGTTTCTCATTCTCTGTGTAAAACAGATGCCGCAATAGTTGGTGGTCATTCCGCAGTGGAGACCCCTGATATATAAGGAAGGAAAGGTGTGCTGAAGGAAAATGAGCAAAAAATCTGAGTCATTTGGATTATGCTTTGACAAAAAGATATAAGATCAAAAAACATTGAATGAAATAGGAATAACGAGGAAAGAAGCTACTTTTGGTGCTCAGTGCACTTTAGTGTACCCAAGAATAAAATTTGTAGTAAAATATACTGTAAGA